GTAGTGGGATAAAGGCTTGATGTTGTTGTTGTTGTTGATCTCTTGATGGAGATTACAAATAATGATTATTTTTAGGTGACAATGCTAAGATTAAAGATGAAGTCAACAAAGGTTCATAAATGAAGAAAAATTGCCAATTGGGTGCCTACTGATCAAGTTTGAGAGTCAAAAAGTTTGGGCCATTAGATGACAATAAAGAGGACATTAAAATAGCTTGACCGACCAATCTAATGAGCCTTATTTGTTTGGCCATCTCAAGATTAGTTCGATTTGAATTTATTTTAAGTACATAAGGTTTTATTTAAATTCAAATTTGAGTTTGCTTGTTTTGTGGAATTGTTTGTATTTGATGTTATTGATGTCTTCGAATCCTTTAGAGTCCATGGATTATCCTTGATTTTGCTTTGTTTTGTCTTTTCGCTTGATTCGCCTCGTTGATCCATTACATTACTCCTGTCTTTGCATCATCAAATATAATTCTTATTTGAATTCAAATTATTGATCTTATTTTATTTTTTCTCCTTTCTAGTTATTTTTGTTTAGGAAATGATTCAATTATCCTTGAAAAAATGGCGAACCATCTCCTCTATTTATACCTTACTTATACTATAGAATTCTTGAAGAATTGAATCAATAAAATCTCTCACATATTTCTACATGGTATTAGAGTACTTTCCTCATCGCTTCATTACATTTTTCCTCCTATTTTTTTCCTGCTTTTTCTTGCTCCATGCAAAGGTAGTGCTTACTCCTAGGTGACATTAGCCTTGATTATCCTAATCGGAGACACTACCTCATTTGAAACTTTTGTTATTTCCATTACTGGACACGAGCTTAATGCCTAAAACTTCATCCAATGGTCGCAATCAATGCCTTAAACTTGTTATTGGAAACAACTTGCATCCTTGATGAAATATAATGGAGGTGCCCAGAAAATAATCAGTAATAAAGGAACATAGTGGAGTGATAACGAGTATACAAATTCGTACTTGGCCTAAAAAACATTAAGGCGACAATCATTGGAGAATCTTGAGCATGAGACCTCTTTGTAACATTGATGAAGCCTTCTTTGAGGTTCACTGAGAAAAAAAATAGGAGAATTGTAATCTTGGGAGTGTTCATTTAGTTTCATTTCAACCGTTGAAATCATATTAACGGATCAATTACAGTATCTTCCATACTGCCTAATAGCTTAAACCATTTCATAAAAGCTCTACAACTTTACTACATGGATGCAGAATCCACATGGTAGAACCATTTGTCAAAGCTCTATTTGATCTGTTAGACTTTGTGTTCTGTGATTGTGGCCATCTTAAATTTTTTTTTGTTTGAGGCTCTCTCACTTCAGGATTCTTTGGTCTAGCTTTGGATGCATTAATAATTTGTCTCGGAGATGATTCTATTGGCCTCCTTCCCAATTAATTATGCTTTCTCCTTTAATTTATTTCCCTGTTATGATTCATCCCGAATTTGTATGAAGATTGAATGTGGAAACTAAATCAATAGTTAACTTTTGTCCTCTTATAAAGCATCATTAGATCTGATTGTCTCCTTTAAACATGGTAGCTGTTGCTGTACTTTGTTTGTTTCAGTCTTTATATGAATTGAATGCCTCTTGTAATTATTATTTAGAGTAATATTTAGCTGGAACTCTTGATGAAGAATTATCCATAGCCATTACTTACAATTAATTCTTCAACCATCAGGAGTAACATAAAAGATATCAAAGAGAAGCTATCAACAATAAAGATGGATGAGATACAGTACCTTCAGAGTCTTTTGCAAAAGGTAATCAAAGGAAAACTTGCTCTCTTTGTTTTCTTTTAACTAATCTTTTTCATTTGCATATTCCTAAATAATTAGAGAGCATATAATCATGATACTTAATTATAGTTTATTTTTTTATGCTTGAGATTTGTGAGGTTTCATTTATTCTCATAGGTTGAAGAACAGAACAGAAGCATGGAAAATCAGATACAATCACTCATGAAGAATCAGGACCAAACAATGCTTTGAATGCAGTGGAGAAGGTATTTCAATTCCTGATGATAACTTGTAAGGTGATTTACATAAAAAGCTCTATAAAATTACCTATTTATATATCTATCTATCACCTAATTCCTTCTATTTATCTGCATACCATCCTGATCTTTTTGTTGTTATTAAATAGATAAATTTTTAATGTTATGTATGCGAGTACCCAATTGTAAATACTTAAATGTTTTTATTTTTCATTGACAATTTGCATCTTGCAGTTGAAAAGCTGGAACTCCCTTCTATGAAAGTATATGCCATGGATCCTGTCCTTGCTGCAGCTTTTACTGCTGGAGCTTCTTACCAATATTTGTCATCTACTACGCTTCTACTTAATTGTTTGTTTTTTCCTACTTGCAACTAACGTAGAATGCTTCAGCATTTGCAGATATTGAAACCATTGGTACAATGAATATTTTTCCCTTTATTAAGTTTTTTTTGTTGTTGTTTCAAAATCAACTAAAATTTTGATAAAACATGATTGACATAATCTTATTTATTATAAATATTGAATAGAGATTTTTTAAAAATATAATTTTTTTTGTTGGAAATGAGATATTTTGTTAATTTTAGGAACTAAATTCATGCTAATAAGTATAAAATGAATGCTAGGTGGGATTTTACATCCCAAAATTACAAAAAAATTATTAGATGCGGAGATCAGAAGTAGAGATACATCTGAATATCAACTTAAAATTTGACACGTAGAATGCATTTTAATTACACTTTATCTGCGTTTTAATTACACTTTAGTTGCGCTTAAAGTTCTACGAATACATTAAATATATAAAGTAAAAAATAAATCCAATATATCCACTTCACATGTCAACATTTTATTTGAGTCTGGACGTACCTCTACGTCCAATCTCTGCACCAAATAATTTCTCCAAAATTACAAGCAAATGGAGAGCAGGTTGAGGCTTCTTCATAAGCTTAGTAAACTGAAAAAAACAAAGCAAGCAAAGTTCTATTTTCATCCCCTTTAGCTCTATTTTCAATCAAATTAGACATTTATGCACATCCCTAATAGAAATCATTGGGAAAGAAAAAAAAATTTGGGAAAATTTTGAATGATGTGAAGTGCAGATTTGATCTCAGGGTCTTGACTGGCAACAACTTCTAATTTAGGGTTTAGCAAATAAAAGTTAGCTAATAACATCTATGATCTCTCTCATGGAATTCTTTGCCTGTTGTAAGTATCCTCGGGGACGAAGACCGGCTCGGCGCTTTGCGGAGGGATTTGTGGTTGCCCTAAAGCAATGCCTTGATTTTGTGAGGGAGACCAAGAGGGATATTGGCTCTTGGGTGAATGGAGTGCTACATAGTAAATGATTCCAAGAGAGACACTTGAGAGGGATAGAACAGCACCTCCGGAGAAGACTCCAGCCTTCAAAACATAACAGTTGTTGCTGAAGTAAATCTTCTCCATGCTTCTCTTATCATTGAGTGCAGCACCAGCCAACAGAAGAAGGAATGCTAGAACAAAAGTAAACCTGTAGAATGCTAAAATCAGTTGGTTCAAACAAGGATTTGAAGAAAGAAAGACTCCAAACGGAGAATAAAGAAGTTGCCTAATTAATAAATAATATTCCCAACAAAATAATATTTATCTAATACTAATTTTCTCGTGCACAATCCAAATCTTAAGATTTTGAATCTTACTTTCAAAAATATTTTTGTTAATATTTTTTAAATGCGTCTATTTAATTTAGGATAATATTTTAGTTAATAAGTGACATTATGTACATAAAATTTCACTCCAAATTACCTTACAATCTTTGTAATCTAGGAGAAATTAATCAATTTTAATTTTATTATATTCATTCTTATATAGGGAATGAAAATACTCAATTTTTTCTTAAAATAAAGTATATGCAATTATAAAATCATAAGCCAGGGCAAAAAAGGCTCAATATAGTTCCCTACACTTTTATTAGTTCGCATCCAAACAATGTAGCCTAGGTTATTATATTAAATCTTCTATCACCTCGAGCAATGTTATT